CGTATTGCTATATCTAGGCTTTCTTCCCGATATAATGTAGGTTTATTTTAAAACAAAGTTTTAACTCGTGACTCAAAAAAGTTTACTCCCTCTTCTTTGGATGGAAAAAAATCCGAAGTCCGATGTATTAGATCTCCAGTGAGTTTCGATGGTACAAGGCTGATAAGCGGTTAACAGTAATTCAACGCTGAACTGAAAGCACTGGATTGTAGTGTTTATAATCCTAATTTATTAGTCTATAATAAAAGCATGGAAGACCGATATGAATTTAATAAACGAGTAAGATGAAGTTTTCTTTTGGCCAATGAGAACTGAGATGAAATGGAGGCCATGAGGCCAACCTTGAAACTTATCATGATGTTTAAGGCCCGTATGATTAACACATATGCGTAATTGACCAAGCGTGAAGTCAAGATGGCTGGATATTGGCCGAGTTCCTTTTCTGAATTTCTCTAGACCTAGACGAAGTCGAGGTCCACAAGAATGCACGGAAAAATGGGACGAGGCGAATATCAGGGCATCTTGACCAAAACAAGTTTGGTCAATGAAGGATTTATTACATAGCAAAAAGATTTCGCTTAATTAAGAATCAAGAATGACTTGTTTATCTTGAGAGCCGGAAAGAAAGCCAACTGTGACGTGCCTACAAGCACAATAAGCCCACGAGAGTTGTTTACGCTTTCTGTATACTTGCCTTGTTCGTTTATTTTGTCATCTGCCGCTTTTCGCGTCCCCATAGCTGACTTTTTCCAAGAATTACGAACTTTATAAGTCCGCTCCATGCAATGTTTTTTCTTGATGTGGATCAAAGCAAGCAATCCCAAGCGGGAAAGATGTGCCCTCCTCGCCCGCTTGGGTAGGCAATCGAAACACAGGATTCGCTATATATATTGCCCCTTTCGCTGCCAGAGATATAATAAATGTTATCATGTTTGAAAGATCTAATCAGTTCGTGTGTCATTTGAGAGGAGTGTTTACTGCTCTGACGTTCCCATTGGAAACGGCTGGCTCTCCATTAAATGAAAATTAAAATCTGAATTTTACGATTCCTTATTTTATAGTTAGTCTGCCTTTTAAAGGAATTTGCTTTTTTGCATCTTAAAAAAAAAAAGCAATAATCAATTTTCTTTTTACAAAGTGGCCGATCGCGCTCTTCTGGAACCGCAAATTGCTTCGTTGCTATATGTACTTCCAGTTTCCATTATCTTGTTATGATGCCCAAGAAAAAGATTCCGAGCGTTCGATTTGATTTTTTTTAACTCTTCAATGGTTTCAGCGAGTGAGTTTAGAAAACCAGCAACTACACACAGAGCTGCCATGCTTGGGAGAGCTGAAATAAAGATGATCAAAACAAGATTTAACTGAGATTTTGGATTTGAAGATTCTTCAACTTGTAAAAGCACACTCCATCCGGGAACGTAGTCACCGTAACCTAGAGTGGAAAGTGTAGCGAACCATGCGTAAAAGCCTTCTACAAAAGTCCAACCTTCCACATACATTCCTTCTAATCCACCGAGACAAACGGTCAGAATCATGAGAGCAAATGTCACAAAAACCTCTTCTTTTTAATGTTTCGAGGTCGTGTCCTGCTAAGCAACTTTGTCTCGATTGCGTAAACGAAGTCATAAACCAGTTTGGAAACCATTTTACCCATTGTCTTCAGAGTTAGCATCGTCAGAGGAACACCAAGAAAGGTGTATAAAACAGTGACGATTTGTCCAAATGGAGTCTCTGGTGTAATGTGGCCATACCTAAAAAAAGAGGCAAAGTGAAATGGTTAAGAAACCTCACGGCCTCTTTTATTTCATGTTAAATTTAGGCTTTTGATCACACTCCAATAAGATTGAACTGACTGACCAAGAGAGACTCGCATGAATCAAGATGAAAAAAACTTAGTTTTCACGGGCAGGGGTGCACCCTATGCGGATTTACTTGGAGCAATACTTCCCAAAAAATCGAAGTCGGCTTTGAAAAGCTTGTGCAACTTATTTGTTTAGCTTTGTTCATGTAACATGAGTGCAAAGTTGTGAGACGAGTGCAAATAATAAATAGCGTGCGCGCTGTCAAAATTTCGTTTGTCTTGACCTTCTGTGATGCTTTTTTCTTGTTTATTATACCCATTTTAAATCACTGGTGGTCCCTGTAATCTGATTGGTTCTAATCGATGCTATTTATTAACGAATCGCACCATTTTTTTTGCTTTAAATCGCATCTTTTCCCAGCCAATGAGGAGGCTAAACTAAAAACAAAACAACCAATCAGATTTTAAGGCTTTGTTTAACCGATCAAATTTCAGGAAAAAAAAAAGACAAAGAGTATCATGTGGCAATTTTGCAACTTTTTTTTTTCTTAACTCTTACTTTTGCCCCCCAAGAAATGGACATGAATTTAATTTCAGATCGGCTCAGTACTGCATCAATAAAATATTTGAACTGACTAAGTCCTGTATTTAGGCGATTTCAAAATGGATGTAGTAAAGTGGTAATTGAACCTCGTCTCGTTCAATTTTGGTGTGAATCATATTTGTGATTTCAAATCGAACGAGCACTGCACGCTCGTTCGATTTTGAAATCACGCGTATGATTTAAGTCCAAATTGCGCTCCACTCAGTTCAGATACCGTTCTAAATAATTAACAATTATCATGTAAACTGCGGTGTCATACAAGGATTTCCCACCCTAAGAAAAGCCCTAACAACACACGTGAAAAAGTATCGTATTTTTTTAGGCCCTGTCCACACGTATCCGGATAAATTTGAAAACGGATAAATATTTATCCGTTTTCAAATTTATCCGCGTCCACGTTGCCGTTTTGTGAATCGTTTTTGGTGTCACACGGAAACGTAAAACGATTTGAAAACGATGACGTCGCCCACTGAGCATGCTCTTTAGAGCAAAACATGTGCCCGCAGTCTCGCGTATCCTGAGCCTGAATCCTCTTGGCTGTGCTCTTGGGCTTCTCAAACTTATCAACAGTGTTCGCATGGCAGAAATCCGTGACAGCATGGCCGCCACGCAGGCGCATCGATATCAATATGAAGCTGAAAATAAGCCACAATGCTTGAAATGAGACTCATTAGTACCGAAATTAGAGCTTGTTTATTCGCCATGTTTTCATTAATGGTCGATCGGCCGAGAGCACGCGTTGACTAGGTTTGAATTGTTACGTCATCGTTTTCAAATCGTTTTTAAATTTATCCGGATAAGGCATCACACGGAGACGCTTAGCCAGCGTTTTCAAATTTATCCACTCTGGAGAGCGTTTTCAAATTTATCTGTTTTCGGTGTGTGAAAACGCCGTTTACGTGTGGACGGAACCCGTAACCGTATAAATATTTATCTGTTTTCAGATTTATCCGGATACGTGGACGGGGACTTAACGTGTGTTGTTAGGGTTTTTAAAAGTAAAGCAGCATAAAGGGCTATTGAGTTTATATGATAAACAAAAATAATACAAGGGCGCGCGTAGATATGGAATTTTTCTTCTCGCGTTCAACTCGACATCTCACTCGCTCGCTGTGCTCATTCGTGAGCTATCGAGCTAAACACGAGAAGGGAAATTCCTTATCTACGCGCGCCCATGTATTATTCTCTATAAAATGTTCAGAGAAATGCGCGCGCCGTGATTGATCAGAACGAGTTCATTATATTTCCATAAAGCACGCGCCTTACGTCACACGAGTGCATTGTTGAGATATAATGCACGCACGGACGTCATCGGTACGAGCAAGCGCAATTCACGATACATTTTATAAAAGAAGTAAACAAACTTATTCCTCGAGCATTGTTGAGTTATAGGCACTTAGAATTTTTAAGAACACTCGAGAAGTACGATAAGCAATCGTCCTCTGTTCGTGCTTCTCCACACTTCTCTCCTGTTCTTAGAAATTCCCGCGTGCTTCTAGAACTCGACAAAGTACTCGGCGATTTTTAAATTCTTTAGTAATAGCACGATCACTCCGTTTCATTTGGTGCGAATAATAAGACTACAAATTGCGCTTTCGCGCAGACTTGTGTAATTTTGTTGTCTTTGAAGAAATTACTCATGCTTAATGACACCAAATTGCACTCGAAATAATATTATTTCCTCTAAAAATGCACATTCTGATAACTCTGTTGTATCGCTAAACATTACTTTCGACGAGGAAAGTCCTTTGCGTGGACCAGGGTTCTGGAAGTTTATTAATTCGTTGTCACTCGATACCGACTATGTTGAAATATTAACTTTTAAATTTTCTAAATTTGTTACCTAGCAATTAGTAAAACGCATACAAAAACAAGGCAAAGGAAAGCGGTCGAACTGGTGAGCCATGACACCAAATAATAACAAAGGGATAACAGTCACATTTTTGCTTGTATATTATTAACTAGCAGAACGTAATTTTTCTTGTACAATTTTTCAAAAGCAAAAAATTGCACCAGCCCGTAATTTGGCTAGCCTTTAAAAATTTACTCGGGCAGATCTATTCCAAATTGCACTCGAAATCAAGTGATTACTTGTACAGACCACACATTAAATAAACCAGTTGAGATGTTGGAGAACACGACAAAAGTTTGTTTACAGTTTTCTCTCGTTCTCCCAACATCTCAAGTACAGTATTCACAACGAAAAAAATCTACCTTTCAGATTAAGATCTTTCATATGGTATATTTCACTCTTCTTGTTATTGTTCGGTCTTAAACCATCTCATTATTATAGGAAAATGTTATCTATTTGTCAACGCCAACGGTAAAAACAGATTCCAGTCTAACGACCTCGTCTCCTTAAATTGCTACAAATGATCATTAGAAAAACACTTTGTATTTAAATCAGGTGAGGTTTTTTTTTCGGCCCAAAATTCAATATTAAAAAAAATAATAATAAATTGCGCTGGTACGGCGTTCTTTCATGAGTTTTCATAAGCTCCTGTTTTCAAGCAATCAAAGTGATTTCCATTTTAATGAAAACATAATAACCTGTGTCTATCCAGTGACTCTATGAGCAAGATATTTACCAGAACTTATTAACATGCTATTTCAGAAACAAATGTCACTTACCAACAGTCGCCAACGTTGTCAGCGAAAAGCTGAGGGAACTAAGGAAGCTCCAATCCGCTTTATGACCAACTTGGACCACTTCGAAAGCTCTATGGATGAAACTTTTAAAATCGTTCTCCTTTATAGAAACATTGAACCTGTTTGTAAAGTTTGTTTGCAGCTCTCGAGAGAGTCTTAAATAAACATCCCTATTGTCTTCGGGCTTTTTCTCAATGCAGTAGAAAAGGCCTCCTCCAAACAAGGCATACGCAAAAAGCAGTGAGACTCTAAACAGACTTTTCATTAGCAGCTTCTTCATTTTTTTTTCGACTCTTCTACTTAGCGCTGTGGAATAAAATATAATACAAATTATTGGAATAAAGGCCGAGGCAGTTATCACCCCTTGACTCGTGCCATTTTGAAGGATACATGAAGACGCATTGTTTTTTGGCTTAAGTCCGGTCAGGAAATCAAAACAAATCCTGCTTTTATCAGCAAAGACGTATTCTAGCATATTTTTGTAGAAAAAAATGAGACCAGAACACGAACAAAATATTAAAATAAACAAACGTTAAAAGATGGCAATAAGAAAATCGTAAGCAACCCTTTTCGCTTTCTTTCAGGTTTTTCAGAAGTTTTGTCTTCTTAGGTCGCTGTAAATTTCTCTCCTTCACCACTTAGAGTGTCATAAAGAGTCTAAAGGTAATTCAGTTTATCACAAAAAACACCACCTCCTTCTTTCGCGTAGTGGGCAGCTTATGTACATCAATTAAGTCAAGACAGAAAAAAAGGCGTGTTATTTTCCAAAGTAACATCTAACAGTGGGTGACATCATTACGGGAAATGGTGATACCTTGCTGTGGTGATTACGACTGAACGGTCGACGTTGATAATGAAGTTACTTTTTGAATGGCTCGGTAAAAAATATAAGGAAAATGTCTCTTCATTTACGACAGAAATGATTGCCGCGGTGCAAAAAAAATTAAGATTTATTTAGGTTATCTGGCAGGAAACATTTGCTAGATTTATTGCCCGAGGACTTGATCTGATGAGGGAAGGTGCTTCATGATTATAAGATTTGATAGTAGAGAAAATCAGAGAGTGGAATGCATTGTTTAAAATATCTGTCATTCCTTCACTTTTTCAATTTTAATTCATTGTTTTTTTTTTACATCACTTTTCTCTGACAAATTTGAAACTTAAAGTAATGGTTAAGCACAAGATATTGACAGAAATAATACAAGCAGCAAAAAAAAAAAAAAAAACGTAATTAAAGCAAAGACAAAGCAAGATAATTACACTCAAAAATTGACCAAACAACAGAAACGCTAATGATTAATAGTCTTTCCTTTCCCCTCTATCCTAAGACATTTAATAAATAAACCCCTCAGTGGTTGGTTTGTCGGCTGTCCACGGCTAGCTGAGAGATTGTCGGTAAAAGAATATATGGCCGAGAAGCGAAGGCTTCGAGGAAGAATCTGAAATTTTGAGGACAATCCAGAAGCGGAGGTAATTATCAG